CGGGGTCACCTAAAGTATAAACATTTAAACATATGGTTTGATGCCATGAAGCAGCAATCGAGATCTAGTACAAAGCTATACAATCTCCAAAAATAGCATATATATATAAATTTAGGGGTTGTACATATAAATGAACCAATTAAAGTAAAGTTTTAAACATGAACAATCTTGGCAAATTAAATAATAGTAAAGGAGCTGAACTAGAAGACCATAATACTTAACATAGTTTCATTTATATATATAAAAAAAAAACAATAATAGTAATAAAAATAATAATCTTAAATTAAAGGTTTTACAAGATTGAATTAGATCTTGTGAACATGCAAAAGTGGTTTAAGCTGGTCCGATTTTAAATGAAATATCTATTCAACCGAACAATGATAGACTCTTGATTATTAATTAGATTGGAATTGAACAAATTAAACTAACTAGACTCTTGATCATTGCAAGCCCTCAACAAGATACTTCAATTCGTGTGAATGAGTTGAACAATAATTCAGTGTTGTTTTACTCTTGTAGGTGTTGTCCTATTTAAAAATAAAAGAGCAGGTTTCCAATTTTGGTGGTTTATGCATGTTAAGGCTAAGCAGTGGACAGATCACAACAGCATAGTAACTTGTAACCAAGTCTAATGTATTACAAATAATTCCTGAAGAACGCCTAACTTTAAGTAACAGGATATGTCCTTTCTCAATTATTTTTCACATGCCTCTCATAAAACCCACTAACCGATTGCTTCTAACTTCAATTCATCTAACTTCTTTTGCTCAAACATGAAGAAGATGAACCCTTACGTGTATAGTAGTTTGTTTGACGAAAAGACACGGGAAATGATACCACAACTTATCAATTCAATTTCGTTTACACTTACTATAACGGAGGATATACTATTTTTTTTGACAGTTTTACTTTGAAGTGAGAATTTTTACTTGCTTTGTGATAATTGAATTTTCATACTTTTCAACTTATAGATTTATGATCGTTTCTTCAAAGCATGCATGTAAAATAACTTATAGATTAATGATCGTTTCTTCAAAGCATGTAAAATAAGGGGTGTTACATTGTTACGTGTAAAGGTTTTATATGTATCATTTCTATTTTCTACTAAAAATATATCAGTGTATTACAGACCTTTATTGGTACGATAATATATTACATACTAAATTAAACCCCGTGCAATGCACAGTTTTCAAATAATTATAATGACAATAAATTTTACCAAAAAAAGTATGAAATAAAGTCAAACTCAGTACTAAAAAGTATGAAATATATTGTTTCAAAAAAAAAAAAGTATGAAATAATAAGTGAAAGAAAATAATTAAATATGTAATAGTTATATTGAGAAATTTGATATTTAAAGAAGTTTATTTTAGATTTTGTACAAATCAAAAATAAAAATAAAAACCATAAAAATAAGGTTTTTTAAGTTTTTTTAGTAAGTTATTTTGGAGGAAAAACTCCTTATATTATATTGCCAAGTGTCCCTCTCAATTTTGCCTTTAGTATAATGTAATTGATTGAGTTAGATACATTGTTCGATAAAGAACAAATTAGAGTACAAAAATAATACGGAGTACTGCATACAATAACACGACTCTTAATTTCAGATAAAACCTGTAAGTATTTAATATAGCTACTAACAATCTCATGTTGAAAAATACAACTCCTATGTTAATTGAGTACGGAGTACCAATTCAATCACAAAGTGCCCTTGTTCTTTTACAAGTGTAACATGTAGATAAAACAAAACGAAAAAATAACAGAATTTTCCGATAGCGTTTTGCAGCTCATCTGTGCAACTTTCATACTGCCTTGGGAGAACCAAGCCATAAGTTGTATGAATAAATAGATAATGCAATAAATGAGTAGGTTGGTTATAAATGCAACGAGGGGCCATTTTTTATCTTTACTACAAATTTTAAAACTTGTAATGCGGAGTACAACTTACATATAGAGGAGCATAATGATAAATTATTACACGAGCTAACAAAAGGCCTTTTCTCGTTTCTAATTGGATTTTGGTCGAATTAGTTTATACGTGGACTTTTGACTTTTGAAAGTTCAAGGTTTTCGAGCATTTAATAGCCCATAATTTGTACGAGTAGATTTTTGACTTTGGACCGTTATGTTTTTAATTTCATATTTCAAAGCCCGAGAGAGTTGACCTTGGGCTACAGGCAAACCAAAGAGTAGGCACCATCTCCAACTCTATTGGTCCAAATAATTCTGTGGGTGTAGAAAATTTTCTGATTAATGTCTCTTTTTAATTTTTGTAGGAACCTCGTGCTATAGAGAGCCTCCAAAGAAGTGTTAAGAGAGCCACAAAGGATGGTACGCAATTTAATGTTACTCATACTCCACAATTGTAACCAACAAGTATGAAGTTGATTGTACTATCCATGGAAGTTCATAGAAAATGCACTTGTTCTAAAATCAAGATAATCATAGTTGATTGTACTATCCATAGTTTGGTTCAGAAATTAAGGCCTTCATTTATGTCTTCCTCTAAATTTATTGTTCACTATCACATTGTTCAAGCCAGGCCATTTGAATTTTTGAACCAGGATATACATCATGGAAATGAAAAACAAGTAAACAACTGCTACTATGATTATTGTATTTATCTCACTGCTAGTGTACAGCCTCATTACCTTTTACTTTTAAGTACGAACCTTGCTGGGCTAAACGGGCTAAGATCAGCAATACTAGTTTTACCGTCGATAACAAGTTCAGCCAAGGCAGCTCCTGTTGCTGGACCATTAAGGATACCCCAGCAGCTATGCCCAGTTGCTACAAAGCATCCTTTCATCCCCGGAAGCTCACCAATAACTGGAACACCGTCATCAGTGGATGGCAAGAAGCATGCTTGCTCTGCTATAACCTGTGCTTCTCCTTCCTTCAAGTGTGTGGAAACATTCCCGGCTACTTGTTTAAGTATTTTTATTGATTCTGGATTGGGTGCTACCTGCTCCGGATCATCTGGCACCTCCTCTGTTGATGACATCCCACAAATGTACACCTCACCTAACAAAGAATATCATTTATATTTAGCCATACAAACAAGTTAGCAAGATTAGACAAGCTTCAGCAGTGAGGTCTATGCAAACAATCTGAATCTTCAACAATGAAATTACTCAATCTTGGCTAAACCGATTGTTGAATATTCCCCTAAATCGATACTTAATTACTTACTTGATGCATAAACCTATATTTTCAGAAATAGCAAATTCCTTAACAATACCACTAACATGCATTTTCAAAGAAACTACGTTGAACATAATTAATGTATTGAAAATTGATCCAAATCAAATGTGACATATGTTTACTACGAAGCATTAGAAAATGTAGTTCGTTGATCAATAGTTCAATAGTTCACTACTTCTAGTTAAAGAATATAATCCCACTATTTTATGCAGTGTTCAATGTGCCATAATTCCACTATACTCAACCGGCAAGGGGGACAAAACGACCAAAACTCGGCCGTTGAGATAAACAGTAATTACGACGTTCAATCGAGACTGAAACCTAACTTATCAACAGAAACAAAATAAGGCTCTTTACCATAACATCCCACACTCCAAAGATATTTCAGCAAAATATAGCATTATGTCCCAGTACTAAATTACTAATACAATGTAAAACCACAAACACACCTGAATGTTATGACATTGTAAAATTGTAAATTATGACTTAATAATCAATCAATAATGCAATAATCAAATACTAGTATGACTTGATAATGCAATAATCATATTAAGAACGCAATAAATAAAGAGACAAACTATATAGAATAAGCTATACCAGTGGGCCGGGGATAGACTTCAGGGTCCAAGGGCCTACCACCCTGGGCTGGATAATAAGTGAGAAACAACGCATGAGGCGAGATAACATCAGGCTCTTTGGGCTCTAGAACAATACTATGGGCCTTAAGCCCATAAACTCTAAACAACGAAGACACCAAAGCCAATTTAGAAGACCAAGGCCCAAGAGCCAACACAACCGAGTCAGCATAAAGAACTCGTCCATCATTCAAAACAACCGAGTCAACTCGCCCATCCTTTTTATCAAACCCCACTCCATCCACCCTCCCAATCAACACCTCCGCTCCATTCTTCTCCACCGCATTCGTCATCAAACACCTCGTAAACAACTGGGGGTGTACTTGGGCCGTCGTTTGGGCACTCCCAATGGGCTTAGATTTCTGGGCTGGCCCATCCACCCACGACGGTAAATTCTTAACATTACTACTGGGCTTACTATGAGACTCATCAATTGCCACGCTCAAGGTGTCCAGAGGACGATAACCGTAGGATGAAGGCCCATCAAGTTCATCGGACAATGAACGGTGGAGATTGAAGCTGGTACGTGCGAGGGAAGAGAGGGGCCCACCGTCGCACCAATCTAAGGCCAGGAATCCACCGGCTTTTCCGGAGGCGGCGCATGCGACGGAGGTTTGTTCAATGACGGTGACGGCAGCACCGTTTTTGGCGAGAAAGTATGCCGTGCAAACTCCGATGACTCCGCCGCCGCATACCACTACTTTGCGCCGCCGGTCACTGCCGGTTTCCGGTGATATGGACATGTTTGGAGGGGAAGAGGAGCAGCGGATTGAGGTTGCGATTAAGGGTTTGGAGTAACGAGAGAGGAATTGACGAAGTTTAGTTGTTATTGGTGATTGAGGAATTAATCTTGTTTCCATTTTTATTTTATTTTTCACCATTTTGGATTTCTGGAAGAAACGTTGCTCTGGAAGAACTGTAATTTGACACGTGGGATAAGTTGAACTTTGTTGATACGGCCATACGGGTTACAATTCTGGACCTTAAATTGGGCTGAATCTGTAAATTTTCAATTGTTATTACATGCACCAAGATACACCTAGAAATAGGTTCACCAGGCCCAAGTAATAGCCCACTAGCTATATCTGTCCAAGAATATACCCAACACATACGAGCCCAATAGCTATTTAGTTTTTTATTAAACGTTTCCTCCTCTCTCTTAACCGCCACATCAATTTTTTTAATTCGTTTAAAAAATTCTGCCCCATCTCATAAATTCAAAATCTTTCCTTATTTACTCATTATAATTTTCTCTCTTCTCTCCATTTTTCTTTCTCTAAAAAACTGTTTTACCGCCATGAATAAAGACAAAGAACAGAAGAACACTTCTTCAAAAAGGTGAACATTACTTAAATTTCTTTGAATTTGCTACTATTGTGTTAAATTTGCTAATATAATTCAACAAATTTCAAAATTCATGAACTTATTTGTGGTTTTAATATTTTCTTTCAATTTAATTTTTGTTGAAAATTGAAACTATCTTCTCCTACTAATGAAGATGAAGAAGTGTAAGTAATTTATTGTTCAAAATCCCAATTTAATCTTAAATTGATGATTTTTAAATTGAATACTAAATTGAACCCTAAATTTTTTAAACAATCCAATTAGTCAAGTGTTTAACATCAAAACACCAAAAAAGAAGAAGTTAGATGATATACCTAAAAGAAGTCCAATTGTTGATCAAAAATTTTTGGAAGAATTAGACAAAGAAATGTTAGAAAGTCCAATTAACAAGTATAATTATGTTCATATATTTTCTGTTTGATGTTCATAAACGCTGTGCTTTATGTCCATATATTATGTGCTTTATGAAGTAATAATTTGTTTAGATATTCAATTAAGTACGTTCGTATGATGTAATAATTTGTTTAGATGTTGTTTATTTGTTCATTTTGTTGTTTAATTTTTAATTATTAGAGCAAGTACTGAACAGCCACCAAAAACTTGTGAACAACACACAATAACCACTTAACAGCCCCCACAAACCACTGATTAGCCCCAGAAACATTTGATCTACCCCAAAAAACACTAATCAGCCCCCAAAAAACACTGATCAGCCCCCACAAAACATTGAACAACCCCTACAGACATCTGAACTACCCCCACAAAATACTGATGAACAGCCCCATAGACATCTGAACTGCGCCTACAAAACATTGAACAACCCCAATTAACTTCTAAAAATCCCCTAAAAACCACTGAAAGCCACCAGAAAACACAGATAAGCCACTAGAAACCGCTGAAAAGCCCTCAGAAACAAGTGAAAAGCACCTAGAAACCTCTGAACCAACTTCAAAAACCTTTGAACCACCTTCAAAAAACTTCTGAACCCCCTTCAAAAACCACTAAATTCCCTTCAAAAAACTTTGAACCACCTTCAAAAACTTCTGCACCTAACACTGCTCAAAATGCTAGTCAGACTTCAGTAAGCTCTACACAACAATCTCAGAGGTAAAATGTTTATACAATTTTTGTTCATTTCATTTTAGTAATATGGTCATTTAATTATATTCATTTGCTTAAAAAAATAAACTTAAAATGTTTAGAACAGTTCTGGCAGATGAGTAAAACATGTTGTAAACAAAAAAAAGTTGAAGGAAAAAATTCCTACATCAAGCAGAGTAATAAGAAGCAAAAGCTCCCAAGAAACAATTCAGATTAAAAAGGCACAGGAATCAACAAAGGTGGTTCAAAAAACAAAGAAGGGGGTTCAGAACATAGGAAGTTCTGGTAAAAAGGAAGTCAAGAAGAAAACAAAAGAAGTTCAGAAAGGGGGAAACTCATCTCAAAAGGAGGTTCATAAATCAGTTAAGGAAGTTAAAAGGAAACTAAAAGAAGTTCAAAAAGTGGTGAAAGGTGAAATTAGAGAGAGAAAAAAAAGAAAGAGAAAAGATGATGATGAGGAGTTGTTTGATTTAGATGATGATGAATTTGTGAAGGATGATGTTGAGGAAGACAAGCTTAGTGTTAGAGTCGGACATGTTAAGTTCATGAAGTTTGTAAGCAACTTAAGCCCACAATAGAAGCGAGCAATTAAAGAAATGAGATTTGGGATTTAAACTTTCAATGTTCATTTTCAAATAATAAATGTTCAAATTCGAGTACTGTCATGTTCATATTTATTGATGCTCATTATAAAATAGTGCAATGGTTATCGTTAAAAATTTCAATGTTCTTTCGAAAAGAAAAAAAATCAATGTTTATTTTTAAAAATTATGTGTTCAAATTCTAATATTTCATGTTCATAATTTGTTCATTTTCATAAACTATAGTTTAAAACTTTATTTATATAACTGTTAACGAAAAATAGATCGTATTAATAATCATTATAAATTCTTTTATGTTTATTATAATGTGCTAAATGTTCATATGAAATATACTAAATGTTCATTTTATATATCAAATCCCAATTGTGGTTCATAATTCCTTAGTCCAAATTAACTCATGTTCATATAATAATCTAACTCAAATGTTCATAAAAAACATTTACATGTTCAGATATCTAACATATGCAAATACATAACTTAAAAAGGTTTTAAAAATACATAAATTGAAAACAAAATGAATTTTCATATGCAAATAATCAAATGTTCAAATATACAAATTATAAAGTATAGAATGCCAATTGTTTTTTTTAAAAAATGATTACAAATTACATAAATCTAAAAAACATTCATAAGTATGTATCACATGTTCAAAATTATAATTCAGATGTTCATAAATCCAAAAATATATGTCAGTAAAAATATATATTTATAGGAAACGCATCTCACGTTCATATTTTTAACTTAAAATGTTCAAAATATAACCAAAAACAGAACTGTTCATAATAAATACACAAATATAACTAACAAAAAAAAATCAAAATAATATGAAAGCTACATATTTCGAAACTCAAATCTAGCCATAGTGATTTAGATAATGAAATTTCATCGGAAAATAATCATCGTCGTTGTCTTAACAGCCTTCTCATCGTCAAATCCGCCATTTTTAACTTCACTTTATTGCAGAAACTCCATTATCAAAGCTTCAAATTGAAGGTTGAAGAAAACGAAAGTTGAAATTAATATATGGTGATCAACAATGGTGATGAAGGAATCAAATCAAAAACAAAATAATGAATGAATTTAAGAAAGAGAAAAATAGAGGAGAGAGAAATCAGAAATTAGGAATTGTAAGAGGAGGAGATGAAAAATCTCAATCTATGGTGATCAACAATGGTGAAGAAGGAATTAAATCAAAAACAAAATAATGAATGAATTTAAGAGAGAGAAATCAGAAATTAGGAAAGTGTAAGAGGAGGAGATAGAAAATACTAAGGATAGAGAATAATGTTGGTATAGTGCTGGCAAATTGTAAAACACGTGGCGTCTTATTACTGGTGGTGCATACAATTTAACATGCACCATGGTGGAGGCCTTCCAAAGGGAGGTTTGATAGGTACCTGGACATACATATTAAGGGGCATAAGAGACATTTCGCATGAAATTTATCCATCTCTCTCCTCTTTTCTCTCACCCCCATGTGCTGAATTTAAGTGTACCACTGGGTGATTAATAGTATCACTAGATGATCAAATAGTATCATTGAACATTCAGTGGTACTATATATTCATTCAATGGTACTGTATATTCATTCATGGTACTAACTAAGTGTAGAAATAGAATCACTACATAGTCAATGATATTATATAAGCTTTCAGTGGTACATTTAAAACTGGTCCCACATGCCCATTTTTCTCCTCCTTTTCTCCCACCCCCATGTGCTTTACAATATTTTTCAATATTTTAATGTTTGATATGTATTTGCACATACATATCAAACCTACATTAGTACTTCCTCCACCATGGTGCATGTTATAATTTGCGGTAAATTTTGGGTCCTTTGAGTTTATGTAATTGGTCCTTATCGCTGATTAATTTGCACGTTCAACTCTATGGCTCTATTGGCTATGTATAGCTCAATGTATATGTATGTTATGTATCAATTCAATTTACTTCGTATTATGTGTCGATTATTTTTTTTGGTTAAGGTTAGATAAATTGTCGTACTAGGCTAGCACTCCGTACAAGACAATTTAGTTTAACTCAATTAGTGCCCGTGCGATGTACGGTAGTAATAATCATTTTTCCATAATTAATTGTGCTATAATATAAAAATAAGGCAACTTATGTGGAATAAAAAAATTGCAATGCATATAGAAAATTAAAATAATAACGCAAAAATTATTAAAACTACAATTGAGATTTTTTTATTTTATTGTTGATTAGTTGTGTTGAAAATATTTAAAAGTAGTACACATATTACATTAATGATGCATATTATTTCCAATAAAACTATACAATCTAGTGATACTATATGACTAAAGACTTATTTATAAATGCCTTTTAATAAACATGAAAATATTAATCAAAGAACAGAATATAATTTACAGTAAAACTATTAAACTATTTGCACAACATACATGTAAATATATATATTACAAATAATATATCACCTTTATATCCAATAAAATAATTTCAAAGGCAATTATAATCAACAATTAAGCAACACTAACCCATTAATAGTACATTTTCTGTTAGTGGATTGCTAAACATCGCCCGCAAATCTCCACATAAAGCCCACAAATCTATATTGAATTTACCTTATTGCCCTAAACCTAAAATAAAAAAATCTAACCCATACCCACACTCTAATCACCCGAAGATACGACAATGTTGAGGCGACAAGGCAAGGACTTGGCGACCACATTGGCGGAGGGAAGGACGGGTCACGGTGGCAGGGTTTTTTTTTTTAAAAAAAAAAATTAAAAAAAACCAGAAGAGGTGCGCCCAGCCCCTGGTGGTGGCGTCTGCTCCAGCCGCCGGAACCAGGGGGCTGGCGTCTGACCTGGACGCCTAGCCACGGTTGTGGCATTTTCCAGAGGCGCCACCGCCGTGGCTGGGCGTCCAGGTCAGACGCCAGCCCCCTGGTCCCGGCGGCCGGAGCAGACGCCACCACCAGGGGCTGGGCGTCCTGGCCAGGCGCCCTACCACTTTTTTTTTTTTTTTTTTGTCTAATATTTTTTTTTTTGGAAAATCATAATTCTTTTGTTAATGTTTAATATTTTTGTTTTATGTGTTAATGTTTTTATTTCTAATGTATATATTTTTTTTAAATCAGAATTTTTTGTGTTAATGTTTAATTTTTTGTGTTAATGTTTAATTAAAAAAAAACAAAAACTTTAAATAAAATTTAAAAAAAAATACAAAAAGTTTAAATAAAATTACAAAAAAAAAAGAAAAAAAAAATAAAAAAATAACAAATTACAAAAAAAAAAAAAAAAAATTACAAAAAGTAGGGGTGGCGTCTGGCCAGGACGCCACAGCCATGGTGGCGGCGTCTGGCCAGGACTCCACAGCCATGGTGGCGGCGTCCTGACCAGACGCCACCCCTACTTTTCGTAATTTTTTCCCCGGATTATCTCGCTTTCCGGCGACGATGATGGCTCTTCGGTGTCCCTCGGCGATCCACTCCAGCTCCACATTCTTCGTGAGAGTGAATTACGGTTTCGGTAAAAATTAGAAAAAGGGCAAAAGAGTCAAAGTAAAAATATTTGTGGGCTTTATGTGGAGATTTGCGGGCGACGTTTAACAAATCCCTTCTGTTATCGTCGCTCTTTGTTATTATATAAAAATGTGTTTGAAGCTTTCCAATAATTGTAGTATAATCATTGTTTGTTTATTGCCTTAAAAGTTTATTTGTTGATGATAGTTATTTATCGAAAAAAAAGAATACACAAGAAGATGTCACTTATCACTATGTCTGATGTGTCTTTTACAATGCATCTTATTTATAATGTCGAATGTAACAAATTTATCATCTCAATCACATGTTTTAGCAAAAGACAACAATTTTTTTTTATATTTACTAAGATATAAATTTATTTAATTAAGTAATAAAAAAAATTGATTGAAATTTCACATTTTCCTAGAATTAGACATATGCTATAGTTGTTGAACACAACAATTATTATTTAGTCATGTAATACTCCATTAGTCTAAGAAACAAAATATTATAGGTATTTGAAAAAAAAATAAACATTAAAGTGATGTTTTATAGTAATTTTTTTAATATCAATTATATGAACCAATTTTATTATTACTTTAAGGGCAAAATTTCAATAATACTCCGGCTAAAAGATGTCCAGGTGATAATGATAGTAACTTGTATCTGAATCAATGGCTCACTTTTTCTATATTAAAAAAGAGTTAGAATAATATTTTAGCCTTTTAGGTAAATGTGTATGGAAGAATTAAGAACAAAAAATAAAAAGAAATACATTTTTATGTAAAGATAATATATAAGGTTTAGAATATTATTATATAGTTGTATTATACAACTTTTTCAAAAATAATAGTTTTTTTTCTAAAAGGGGAGGGGGAGTTTAGGTGGAAAAAAAAAGTACCAAAAAGTGACACTTATCAGTTGTCATTTTTGGTGTCTGTTTTAGTATTATGTTATTGATTAGCAGGTTAAACACTTCAACAATAAAGAGAAATGGACCAAAGGGTAGATGACAATAGATATTTAGGTGGATATGAATATAGAAAGGGGTATACGTTTGTCATCCCTAAATATCGTGTTTTAAACATTTTTAATATTTATTTTCCAAATTAATATATGAGTAGGAGATTATAAATAAGAAATTCATACCATTTAAATCTTTTCTCACCATATATTAACCAACGATACATTTCTCTCATATTGTATTAAAAAAAATGTTACTACCTTGTTTTAAAAAAAAAAAGTGATGTTGCTACCAAGTCTATGATATAAAGGTATAATTAGATATATTAATGATTAAAGATGCGAATTAGAAATTATTTAAACATAATGTGAGTCAAATGACTTTGAAAAACAAAAGATATAATTAGATATATTAATGATCAAAGATGCGAATTAGAAATTATTTAAACATAATGTGAGTCAGACGACTTTGAAAAACAAAAGATATAATTAGATATATTAATGATCAAAGATGCGAATTAGAAATTATTTAAACATAATGTGAGTAAACAAAAGGAGTTTAGGCATATCAATTCTTTCTAGTTATATATTATTAAAGATG